TTCTGCCCTTTATACATTATTTCCACAACGGTATTTAATATTTTTCTTTTATTATTTCAAAGGAAACATATTTACTTAAGGGGCAAAGCTAAAAATTGGAAAATATTGCAGCTCAAACATTGCTGCATAAATCAGCAGCAGCAGGCCTCACAGTATATGATAATCTACTACATTTTGGTTGTAGCCTTTTGAAAGAAATCAATGTGGTTTTTGTTTTAATGTCCCTGAGCAACTTCACTAAGAATTTCATTCCAATTAATTTGAAAGATCTGCTGGAACTTTGTGTGGAATTCAATGAGTTGTCATTTGGCTGTCCCAGAACTTTTGGTTGAGGTGATCCCAAGATAAATGAAATCATTTGTGGAAAGCCGTTTATCAGATGGAGCCCCAAAACTGTTGCGTGAAATCAGTTTACCTCTATTTAAATCCAATATAGATCATTTTCAATTGTTTTACAAGAATACATTCACTTAATTTTTTATAAAGATATTTATTGGGTATGGGAACATTAGTATTCAGCTCTAGAGAGAAACAACTCAAAACTGTTCTGTGTTTCTTGTCTAAGAGGGTATTACCACCAGTGGAAAAAATATACAATGTGTTCTAGGTTCTTTGAAGTTCCTTGACATTAGGTAAATTTGTGTCATTATTTAGGAGAGAAACCCTGGGATATTTCATGCTGTAAAAACAACAGAGGAAATGAAATTGTTGGATATCAGCAAAGGTTCAGGCTGCTATTATCACCTGGGGTTTCTTTGGAAATCTACTAAATAAAAAGCTTTGGTTTACTGCCAAAAAGGTAGCATTTGGGAACAGAAAACTGATTCAACTCTTCCCTTTCTGAAGTATAAATATGCCCAGTGTTTGCCTGTCCCACTTTCCTTCTCCCTACACTGAGATCAGTGTTATCAGACCCTATAAATTTCTCATGCAGTGGCTCACCAAATAAACAGAGACATTTGATAACACACGGTTGGGTTTAGATGTCTTCCTGTCTGTTTTGGCCAGAAGAAATGGGTAATGCCCCCTGTGATATGGATTAGGGGAAAATTCTGACTTCAAGTTGTCCAGAACCTGATCCCACCTAGATTGCTTCCAACTCCCCACCACTACAAAGAATGACTTGCTGGACATCCTTGCCTATGTCCCTTTGTGAGCCTGTGTAAGGGTCTCTTTGGGATAGACACCCAAGGTAGAACACTGCGTCATCGGGTGTGCATATATGTAACCTGGCACAGCCAGATGACAGAACATAGCTGCATCAGTCTACTTGCATTATATAAAGTATTCTGGAACCCAGCATTTCCCCCCAACACTTGTCAATATCCAATATTCTAATTTTTGCCAATCTAATAGGTATAAAGCAATATCTCCTTTTATTTTTGTGTGTGTGTTTTTCTGACTATAATATATCCGAGCATCTCGTTATGTTGGTTAGCCTTGGGGATTTCCTCTCTGTAAATCACCTGTTCATAAGCTTTGCCCATTTTCACTGGGGTTTCTGCCTTTTTCTTATTGACGTGCAGGAGGTCCACGTATACTCTCCTATTAGACATTGCAAAATATCTTCTCCCAATCAGCCAGCTGTCTATTAACTGTCCATGGTTAACAGGAATCCATACTACAGAAATTCTTAGTTGTTATGTAATCAAATTTATCAGTATTTTGCCTTATGGCTTGGGGCTTTAATGTTTTTAAGATGTCCTTCCCATCCTTGAGTGACAAAGACAGCCTCCTACATTTTCATCTAGTACTATAATTATTTTACTTTTCCTATTTAGTATTTAATCCACTTCTGAGTGGATTTACATGAGTATGCTGTTTTAGGTTGGAGGCCAGTTTTATATTTTATCATATAGTAAACATTTTCTACTAAACAACCCATGTTTTCCTCATTGACCTGGTTGCCATCTGAATGTTATACGAAATACTCGTACGTACAAATCTGTCTCTAATCTCTCTATTTTGTTTCAGTGGTCTATGTGGCTGTTCTATTGCCAAACACTATTCTTATTACTGTTGCTTTGGACACTGTCTTTATAGCTAGGGCTACTCCTCCTGTTTATTACTCTTTTACAAATTTAGTTTAGATATTCACGGGCTTTTATTCTTACGTATACATTTTAGAGGAGGCTTATTATGAACTTCCTCAGAAAATTATTTGTAATTTGCATTGGGATTGCATTGAGTATTTGAATTAATTAGAATAGACTTGAGCTCTTTATATATTAACATCTTCCACCCAAGGGCATGGAATGTGTTTCAATTTAAATTAAATCACTCTATGTTCTTGATTAGACTTTAAAACTTTTTTTCCAAAGACTATTCCATACTTACACTAACTCATGTAATAATCATAACAACCATTTAGTCTTTTATTATCATCATTTTCCAAATAAGAAAATTGAGCCCAGAGAAATAAGGGACCTGCCCAAGAACTCCCAGCAAGTAAGTAAAGTAAGTAACAGAGCCTATGTTCAAATAGTTTATAGTCCATACTTTTAACCACAGTACCACCTCTCAATTTACAGGCAGTTATTTTTTATTGTTTGGCTACTACTGTGAATAACATCTTCTTTGTATTATCACTTATTTATTATCTGGTGTATTATTTTTATTATATTTTCTAATTGATTGTTGCAGCTGTAGAGAAATGGTCTGTTTTTTTAAAGTTTAATTCCAGTATAGTTAACATACAGTGAATGTTATATTAGCTTCAGGTGTACAATACAGTGATTCAACAATTCCAAGTATCACCCAGTAGGTTTTTTTTAATTTTAATTCCAGATATGTAGTTGATTTTTAAAGCTGATATTTGCATCCAGGGAAATTGCTGATTCCTCTAGCTAGTTCTATGGTCTATTGTTTCCATTGCTTTTTTTTTTTTTTTTTTTTTTTTTGTATATCAACTGTCAATAATGACCATTTTATCTTTTTCTTTCCAATTTTTAACTCTCTCATTTCTTTTTCTTGCCTTATTGCATTGGCCCAGACTTCCAGTAAATGGTAGACTCTCTATAGTAGTGATCACGGGCAAAGAATGTCTCTTAAAAAAAGGCAATGCTGTTCCAGAAGGTTTTCATTTTATCTTGGCTATAACACATACAGCTATAACATATATGCAGCACCTCAGAGAACTGTTTTACAAAAGCATAGGTTAGAAATAGTGTCTCATGGTCAAGAATCCATTCTAAGCAGATAGGCCCTATGCTTATCTATGCCACAGAAATTACTTTTCTATAAGAGATAGCCCTTCCAGGGGAGACATAACTCAGTTGTGATAAACTTGACTTCATTCTGACTTTAAGTATATTTAATTCCATCCTAAAGCCCTATAGCAACAACACAGATCTGCACCTGCCACTTGCTTCACACAATCTGCTAAATGCAATTGTTTCTGACAACACGTTGGTCTCCATCCCTATGGGGGAATTCACAGACTGTAGCATTGGAAGGAGGCTTAGAGATCAACTATTGCTCTCACTTTACACACATCTAAAAGTCCCTATAGTGGGTACCTCATTGCCCTTGAGAAGATGACCCACCTTCTGGGGCTGATGCTAACAACTGAGAGAGCTTATATCAGAGACCAGGGGCTAACACAGCTTTCTCCTAATTGGCTTCATCACTCCATCTTCAGCTGGCCCTGCTTAGTGATCATGGCAGCATCTCAAGGTTTCCAGTGATTCATCCATCCCGACTTCAATGGGGACCTAGAGGAGAGAAAGAGGAGGCATCCACTCTTCTTTCTTGTATCCCAAAAACTTTTCCCTGTTCAAAACTGACTCATCTGCACAAAACTGGGCACCAGTGGCTCCATTATGTAGTCCTGAGGCCTGGGTACAGTCAGACCCATCAGAAGCTCTGAGTAGGTGGCCAAACACACCCCTCTCTTTCACACATACCCAGGGTGACTAACACTTGTGGTAGAGATGAGTGAACTGAAAAGCCCCACAGAAACCTCGAACCCATTACATCCAAAATGGAACTTCTCACCGACTCCTCCAAACTCACTCCCTCTTACAGTAACCCCGGTCCAGGCCCTGGAGCAATCTCCATTCAGCCGTTCTCAGCACCTTCCTGTCCGACCCACCTGAGGAATTACCAAGCCTTGGCCACTCAGCACCCTGAGGGTCTCTCCTGCCCACTCTTTCCTCCCCATTCTGATTGGGGCCATACCCTCCCAGCTGCTCTTCTCTACTCCTGACTCCTAGGATCTACCTCCATACTACTGCTGAAGGGAATCTTCCCGTCATGCCAATCTAACCATGTCTCCTGCCTGAAACCTTAGAAGGCTCCCCACTACCCTCAAAACAGGTGCTCCTTAGTGGGGTATCTACTACCCTCATAGCACAGCCTCACTGCTCTCTCCAACCTCACACCTTGATGGCAGGGCCCCCAGATCTCCACCTCCCTCTCCCCTCCCTGCCCGTGCTTCTGATTCTCGTTCCATCACCTCAGAACCTGCATCCCATTTATTGGGAACAGTCTCATGCCCCTAGGAGCATGCTGGGGAGCCATGGTCCTGGGAGCCTCACCCCCTTGTCCTGCTGAGGTGCCCTCTCTCTGGGCTTCTGCCAAGACCCGTGCATCCCTCCCGGTAAATGATAACGTCTCCTCTGGACGCCGTACGAAACTGGATGCTCTATGACAGTAGTCATTGCATAGCCAGTCTGGTCTCACCCCTTTTCATATCTAAGATTGAATAAAATACATGGAGTCAGATTTAGTGTGGGAGTGCCCCCCCCCCGGGACCTGTTCACCACGGGGTGTCCCTCGCCTAGCGCAATGCCCGCCTGGCACACCGTGGACCATGGGAATGAAGCAATGATGAGTGGGTGGCTGCTGGATGAACGCACGAGCTGCCCTTGCCCTTTCAGGACCCGGTGGGAGTCAGGATCAGGGCCCGTCCTGGACACCACTCGGCGCTCGGTCGGAAGGGGGCGTCGGAGGCCCGGGACCCAGGGTGGCCCGCAAGGGGTCGGGCGTGCCGGGGGGACCCTGCGCCACCAACTCCGCGCGAATTTCGCTTTCGCTTCGGGCCAGCTGGAGGCGGCGGGGCCGTCCCCGGAGCGACCGCGGCCGAGCACCCGCGGAGTTAATCCGAAAGCGCCGCAAGCCCCCGGGCCCAGCTCCACGTGTCACCGAGAAGCTGATGTAGAGAGAGACAGAGAGAGAAAGCGAGCTGGACACCGGAGTCCCGGGAAAGTCCTGGCGCGCCTCGGGCCAATTATAAAAATGTGACCCCCGGGTCGGCCTCCCACCGCCGCGCTCCCCTGCTGCGTCCGCAGTCCGCGTCCAGCGCCCGCCCGGGTCCACGCCGCGCCCGCCCAGCATGTGCCCGCCGCGCGGTGAGTACGGCCCGCGGGGGCTCGGCGGCGCCCGCCCGGGGGGGGGGAGGACGCGGGGGCTCGGCGGCGCCCGCCCGGGGGGGGGGAGGACGCGGGGGCTCGGCGGCGCCCGGGGGGGAGGACGCGGGGGCTCGGCGGCGCCCGCCCGGGGGGGGGAGGACGCGGGGGCTCGGCGGCGCTCGGGGAGGAGGACGCGGGGGCTCGGCGGCGCCGCCCGGGTGGGGGGAGGACGCGGGGCTCGGCGGCGCTCGGGGAGGAGGACGCGGGGGCTCGGCGGCGCTCGGGGAGGAGGACGCGGGGGTCGGCGGCGCCCGGGTGGGGAGGACGCGGGGGCTCGGCGGCGCTCGGGGAGGAGGACGCGGGGGCTCGGCGGCGCTCGGGGGGGGAGGACGCGGGGCTCGGCGGCGCCCGGGGGGGAGGACGCGGGGGCTCGGCGGCGCTCGGGGAGGAGGACGCGGGGGCTCGGCGGCGCCCGCCCGGGGTGGGGGGGAGGACGCGGGGGCTCGGCGGCGCCCGCCCGGGGTGGGGGGGAGGACGCGGGGGCTCGGCGGCGCCCGCCCGGGGCAGGAGCACAGTCCGCCGCCTCGTGCGGAGCGGAAGGACGGGACGACTGCTCCGTAGGACATCGTCTCCTCGTCGGGAGACCGCCTCGCGGCCTCTCCTCATGCCCACTTCGCAGATTTGAAACTGAGGCCCCACGGGCTGCCTTTGTCCCTCTGGGTCCCTCAGTCCCACGGCTGCAAGAGGGCACGTCCCAGCCAGCCTCGGAGGGAGGCTTTGTCGGCCCCACTGTTTCCAGACCACGGGGCCACGAGCCTGGGCTAGTCCCTGCACTTCCTGGCCTCAGTCTCCCTGCTGGCGAATTAGTGGCTTTTTCGGGGTGAGCTCTGAGTCCAGCACCCTTGTCTGAGCTCGTTAGGGGGCCCTCTCGGGCAGCTGGCTTCTGGCCCTACACTAAAGCCGCGCCTTCCAAGAACTCGATTCTTTCCCAGGCGTTGAAGGCAGATGGGAAACGGTGGAGGGAGCTTGGTGTCGGTTAAGATGTGGACGGGAGGACATGACCAGAATGGATGGAAGGTAGAGGCAGGCCAAACCAAGCTGACAAGCTCAGCCTGCTCCTTGCTTCCTTTCCAGGCCTCCTCCTTGTGACCATCCTGGTCCTCCTAAGCCACCTGCACCACCTTATTTGGGCCAGGAGCCTCCCCACAGCCTCACCAAGCCCAGGAATATTCCAGTGCCTCAACCACTCCCAAAACCTGCTGAGAGCCGTCAGCAACACGCTTCAGAAGGTGAGACTTTCAATATTCTTGTTCCCATTTTGCGGCCCATCTAGGGAAGGAGTTTGTCTGAACCCTCCCCGTCACCTGAAAGAATTGCAGAGAAACTTAGGGCGTTAATCAGGAGCTGTCAAGAGGGGGAGAGGGAACTTTACAGTGGGCCCAACTATTAGCTAACAAGACTCAATGAAATTGTGTCTCCAGAGAAAGCAAGAGTGGTAATAAATTATAATGGCATTCATTGTGGCTATGTCTACACAGAGGAAAGTGGATGTTTACAGTGTTCCCTGTAGCCTGCCAACAGAGATGGAATTGTGTCAGGCCTACACTGTTTCTCTGACACACTTATCAATCCAGGAAACCGTTATTAGGTGCTGCCTCTGTGCTCTAGGGGCTACAACGATGAATTAGACTCGCCCCTCACACTGCTCATCAGCTTCTGATGTGCTGATGCAATTCTTTGAGCAACACATTTCAGGGGGCCTGTGACAGTGTGTCTCAAGCCTTCATTTTCTAGGGAGATTGTTGTCTAATATTATTTACAGTTTCATTCATTCTTTTAGGTTTCATATTTTAATGCAAAAACATTCTTTTTTTTTTTTTCCCCTTTAAAAGTGCTTCTGTACCTATAGCTCTTCTGGAACAGCCAAAGACTGATGTTTTAAAAGCTGTCTTTTGCCTTCCTGTTCTCTGGTGAATCTTTCCTGAATATTTTCTAGCTTGTTGTTTTATGAATATCTTAAAATAAGCTCAATACCACAAGGCCTTCTTAAAAAATTCTTTTCACCTTCTAATCTTGCACAATGTGCTGCCAATTGCTCCTCATAGTTTAGTCAATCTTAATTAAAAAGGCAGCTCACGGGAATCCCTGGGTGGCTCAGCGGTTTAGTGCCTGCCTTTGGCCCAGGGTGCGATTCTGGAGTCCTGGGATCGAGTCCCACGTCAGGCTCCCAGCATGGAGCCTGCTTCTCCCTCCACCTGTGTCTCTGCCTCTCTCTCTCTCTCTCTCTCTCTCTCTATGTCTGTCATAAATAAATCTTTAAAAAAAAAAAAAGGCAGCTCACCAAGTGAAAACTGCAGAGAAAAGTCCTTTGACTTCTGAAGAAGGTTTCAAAATGGATAAAATTTAGGAGCTGCAATTTAAATAGAGGCTTTCGGGGCACCTGCGTGGCTCACTGGTAGAGCACCTGCCTTTGGCTCAGGGCATGATCCCAGGGTCCTGGGATGGAGTCCCACATCAGGCTCCCCGCAGGGAGCCTGCTTCACCTCCTGCCTGTGTCTCTGCCTCTCTCTGTGTCTCTCAAGAATAAATAAATAACATATTTTTAAGAATAATATAAAAATAGAGGCTTTACGTGATGAAGCTAACTCTGGTCCTCAAGTACAGCACTAAAAGTCAAAAGATTACAGCATGCAATTTGTTATTTTTTTCTATCATTCCTTTGTCAAATTTGCTAGAACAAATGAGCTGGCTACCTACAGAAAAAAGAGGTGGCAAATGCATGCAATTCACAACCCACAGATTTGTAGAGTTTGGCCTATACCTATTGTCTTTTATTTGGATTTTGGGTTTGATGCCATTGAAAAAGTAGACCTTTCATATAAGAATCCAAATTTCTGGCTTCTCTAGAAAAGATCAGAGGAACTACAATGGAGGGCCCGTATTTCCAAATTTAACTCCTTACCACCTGCTCAGGATAGTGGCTGCCCACGTGTGTGTGAACACCTCCAGGAATAGTGTATAGTTTCTGCTATACACTATTCCTGTTGCTGCTGCTGTAACAAATTACCACAATGAAAGTGGCTTTAAACAACAACAATTTATTATCTTACAGCTCTGGAGTTCAGAAATCTGAAATAGGCTAGAATCCAGGTGTGAACAGAGTTGTGTCCCTTTTTGGGGACTCTAGGGGAGAATCCATTTTCTTGCCTCTTCCAGCTTCTGGGGGCAGCCCACATTCCTTGGTGTATGGCCCCCTTCCATCGTCAAAGCCAGTAATGGTCAACTCAGTCTTCTTCATGCTGCATTGCTCTGACGTTGACTCTCCTGCCTCCTTCGGTTTATAATGACTCAGCAATTACATTGGACCCACCCAGATAATCCAAGATAACCTCCCTATTTAAGGTCAGCTGATTAATGACCTTCATTTCATCAGCTACCCTAATTCCCCTTGGCCGGGGAACACATTCTCACATTCCAGGGATCAGGAAGTGGATGGCAGGGTGGAGGCATGGGGCATTATGCTGCCTACCACAGACAGAGGTTTTACTACTTGTTTCCAAACATGTTCTGCATCTCAAGCCTTCATTATGGGTCATGTGTTCCCTCTGCCTGAATTTCTCTCTCCTCTGCCTATCGAGCTTCTCCTCCTCTTAATGCAGATGTCCCATCTCTGGTGAGCCGTCATACCCCTCTCAGTACTTCTCACCCGCTGACATGACTCCTAGTCGTTTAGGCACTTTCCTGTCTCTTTCCTGGAATCTGGGAAGGGAGCAGGAGATAACGGTCCTCTTCCTTAGTACAGTAAGTCCCCCCTTATCCAAGGGGGATACTTTCTGAGACCCCCAGTGGACTTCTGAAGCTGCAGCCAGTACTGAAGCCTATATTGTGTTTTAACAATATGTCATGTGAATGTGCTCTCTAAATATCTTACTGTATTCACCCTTCTTTATTTATGTGATGATGTGAAATGATAAAATGCCCATGTGATGAGATGAAGTGAATGACCCAGGCATTGTGACGTATAGCATTAGGCTACCATTAACCTTTTGACTATGCATTGGAAGGAGGATCATCTCCTTCCAGAGCACAGTTGCTGTCACATAACTGAAACCAGGGAAAGCGAAGCCACACATAAGAGGGACAACTACTCACACACCTTAGGCTTGATGAATGAATGGCATGAAGTGATTTCAATCTTCAATCAAATTTACTGACTTTTTAGAGAAATTTCCTAAATATGTTCAACGATGCTTTCCAGCATGTTTAGAAGATGATACCTGTGTGCGTGGCTGTGTGTGTATGTATACCGCAAACTAAATCTCCACTCGTCTTTAGGGCTACATGTTTGTTATATCCGTCAAGTTGTGACCTTAACAGTTCTGCCTTTAGAAGTTATACTTTAAAAGGATATTCAGGATATTCATAAAACACTGGTGCTTTGGCAAAAGGAAAAAACTGTTTTCACCAGAAGCAAGTGTCACAGTGTGGCGTAGATGCTGATTAGCATAGCCTGTTGAAATGATTTATAGTGTTTACATAATGGAAAGACATATCATCCAGAGAAACATGTTCTAAGCAAAGGGAAAGGAGGGAGAGAGAAAGAATGTAAATAACCTGTTTCCTTCTGTCTTATGAAGATCTCAAATTTCCTACAGGTCAAAGAGATAGATGTCAGGGGCAGCCAGCTCTCTCTTTGCTGGCACCCTGCAGTGCCAGCCTCATCTGAAGCCAGGTACCTTATTAATATTATAAACTGAGTTATTCTTTATGTTTTTTACAGGCCAGACAAACTCTAGAATTATATTCCTGCACTTCTGAAGAGATTGATCATGAAGATATCACAAAGGATAAAACCAGCACAGTGGAGGCCTGTTTACCACTGGAATTAACCATGGTATAGATGAATTTCTTCCTGAGCATGTAATACAATTAAGAGCTATGCACCAAACCTCATCTTCTTCCAAAACTGTACATGTTTCTGGTCTCCATCATCATGAGATTTTAACAGGTCCCACTTCAGAAGTTAGATTTGAAAATATATATATAAAACAAATATGTGGGGATCCCTGGGTGGCACAGCGGTTTGGCACCTGCCTTTGGCCCAGGGCGCGATCCTGGAGACCCGGGATCGAGTCCCACGTCGGGCTCCCAGTGCATGGAGCCTGCTTCTCCCTCTGCCTGTGTCTCTGTCTCTCTCTCTCTCTGTGACTATCATAAATAAAAAAAAAAAAAGAAAAAACGTCTTTTACAACAATGTGGATGTGCTTAATACTATTAACTATATACTTAAGACTAGTTAAAATGGTAAATTTTATGGTATGTGCTTTTTTTAACCATAATTTTAAAAAAGATACGTTTGGGAAAAGTCAGGAAAAGTGTATGTTAAGAATTGATACCGTTGATGTGATTTTTTTTTTTTTTTTGTCTCTAGAATGAGAGTTGCCTGGCTTCCAGAGAGATCTCTTTGATAACTGTAAGTCAGAAAATTAAAAGTTTCAGCCCATATGATGAATTCATCTCATTGATGTCTCATTAATTTTTCTTCTAGAACGGGAGTTGCCTGGCCTCTGGAAAGGCCTCTTTTATGACGGTAAGACACAAAACTCTTTCTTTCCTCAAATGCAATGCGGGGGAAACATTTTTAGCCATCTCAATTGTTTCTTCCCTCTTTTGTCATATCACTTAGGTCCTGTGCCTTAGCAGCATCTATGAGGACTTGAAGATGTACCAGATGGAATTCAAGGCCATGAACGCAAAGCTTTTAATGGATCCCAAGAGGCAGATCTTTCTGGATCAAAACATGCTGACAGCTATTGATGAGCTATTACAGGTAAGACCTTTGTACTACCAGTGAGAGTGCCTTCTTCATGCTGAGACAGGGTCCGTGATGATATAAAATCACCCCTTCCTAGATTGGGAGAGGCCTGAAATCCCCTTCCTAGATCTCCTGCAGAGCCTCTTGACAATGGGCATTTGTGAGCAGGTCACGGTAAGAAAAGCAGACTCCCACTTGTTGATCATGTGGCACAGACCAGGCTCTCTGCAGATGTTTTCATACCTTTTCTTTTATGGTCCCACGACAACCACATGGGGTATATCCAAAGGTTAGTCTTAGCCCCTTATCCACGTGGCTTGTAAGTGGCTGAGCCAGGATTTAAACTCCCATCCAAGGGATTTCACTACTTACCTTCTCACTCACTTCCAAAGGCTCCAGGATGTGCAGTGAGGGACCAGCATGCATATCTGCAAATATTGTCAGAGAAAACAAGTGGGGCTGATGCCTGGGTATGACCCATTTTGAACTAAAATGTGTATGAAATAAGAGTGACCTAGGACATATCATATCACCTAGGACATCCACAATGTCACCGATAGACAAGAATTTGCTTTGTAACTTTCTGATGCTGTAATTTTCAGCATGTGATGCTAATACAAAACATAGAAATATCCACTTGAGAAAGGGCAGGGTACATTCTGTGGTGACCAGGGCATGGGATAAAAATAAGTGTGGTATCAGGAATCACTGTTTGAAAAAGAACGTATTCCCCTTTCTTTCTTTCAATTACCATTTGAAAGGCAATGAACTTCATGTAAATATCAAAGAATATCCCCATCTAGAGAGTTATTTCATTTTCAGGCCCAAGAGTTGGGTGATTTGAGCTTTGGAATCCATTCTACCAGGAATTCTGATTCCATGCCCAAACCATTCACCTCCTCTGGGACATGTATTTTCCCTTGTAAAACTAGCATGACCTTACCTACCCTACCTTTTTCTTAGCCTTTTTGCAAGGAACAAGTAGAAGTATTGATCATTGTGCAAATGTAAGATCTTGCATCGTATTATCAAATTAAAAGGTTAAAAGTGAGAGATGCATTGCCAGGTTTGTTCACCTGGCACACATGAGTGTCTGGGGCAAACAGGTCTGTTACTCAAGGAGTTCTGATCAGTAGCAATCCATCACCTCTCTGTTCCAAAAAGGACTTAGCTTCTTAGTATGACATATAAAAATTAATTAGATATTGCAGCAGATGTCATCTTAACAGAATTGTTCCTTTCTAAAATGCAACTCCCACTGATGATTTTCTAAATAGCTTTAAGGGTCTTTTCAGAGCTCACTGAAGATACATGTGCTTGGATAATGAGTATTTCTTCTCTCAGGTCCTGCCTGGCCATCTGGCTGGGAGTGGATTTGGGTCGGGTTTAGGAGATGTAATGAGGGAGTGGGTTGCAGGCTCTGAAGCATGTATTGGCTTCACCCATTTTTACAGATAAATGTTTTAATTTTGGAATACCATATATGTCATCCTTAATATTTATCCTCATAGGCCCTGAATTTCAACAGTGTGACTGTGCCACAGAAATCCTCCCTTGAAGAGCCGGATTTTTATAAAACTAAAATCAAGCTCTGCATACTTCTTCATGCTTTCAGAATTCGTGCGGTGACCATCGATAGAATGATGAGCTATCTGAATTCTTCCTAAAAAGCTGAGGTCTCTCTCGACTTTAAAGTCATTCTTTTAAAAATGTGAACCAAAAGAATTTTTCCTAAGATAGGGGTTAAGAACCAGGGAGGGGGTGGCTTGACCTGGTCCTACTTAAGCTAGTACGATAATTCTCATGCTTGTTTACATTAGTTGCCACTCAAATTTTGAAAGATGTGACTGTTATATCCACACGATGCCTTTGACCAAGTATATTTCACATTTACTATGGATAAGTTAAGTGTTCGTGAGCAAATTGCTAAAGAGGAAAAATGTCCTCACCGAACATGTTTTTATTTTCCCTTTAATAGAAGAGCAAGACTTTATAAGCTATTTCTGTACCAAACTGTTTGTAGAAACAAACACTCAAGCATAATTTATTTAAAAATACTTATTTATATAATTTTGTGTTCATGAAAGCATGTGAATTAATTTATATTTATTTATGTTATATTTATTAAAGTATTTATTATCAAGTGGATTTGGGATATCTTATGTTCTAAAAATAAAATGATTGAGTAGAATAAGTCTCATACTTTTTTCTAATGTAGTTGAAATACATTGTGGGAAAACTGAAAACTCCAATGTGAACAAATTTCCCGGGGAAAGGATGCCCCAATATTCTTACCCACGTCCTATTTCCTCTAATCTCTTACTTTGAAAGGAGACTCATCAGACTAGATATGCTTTAATACTAAGGCCATCAAGTGAGTTATGGTTTTTGAAAGGATGTTTTGTTCAACATCTGCATCCCAGAGTAAAATATCTAAAAATGTTTTCCCCCATTAACCACAGCTCCGTAACATACTGTGCATTAGACAAATACATAATAATATCCTCCGACTGGGGAAAACATCATTAAAAGGCCTTCTAGTTAAATTATTCTAATTTTTGTGACCCTTTGGGCCCTCAGGGGAAGCTGTTTCCAAATTACAATGAGAAAAACTCTCCATTTGTTTTAAATTATACAGAACTTCTGTCTGAACCACATGGATAATTGCCTCTCTTTGACTTAAGAGATGTGCTTTTAATGACCCAATATTAAATTCCATCTTTTTAATTCTCTAAACCACATGAATTTTAAAAGATTCACCTGGCAGTTTACCATGTAATTTTAGTGCTCTGATAATCATATTCCTCCGTCTGAAAAGGCCATAAGAGAGGAACTACTTAGGGTGTCCTGCCCCCTTCCTCATGTGACCCCTCCCCACCACAGCCTGGCTGGAATCCCTGGGGTGTATGGCCACCCCAGGTCCCCTCATCTGTGTGGGCGACGGACTCCTTTGTTCAGATTCTCACCACTTGATACCCAGCTCGATAGAAATCATCAGAAACTAGATCCCAATACATATCCCCATTTCCTTGAGCGATTCCTCCACAAACTTGAATGATCTGCAAGTGATCCACAAACAGGAGTTTCTTGCCATTGAGTGCTGGGTTTGGCCTTTCAGCAGCTTTGGGTTTTTTTTTTTTTAATTTTTTTTTTTTATTCATGAGACACACAGAGAGAGAGGCAGAGACATAGGCAAAGGGAGAAGCAGGCTCCTCGCAGGGCGCCCAATGTGGGACTCAATCCCAGATCCTGGGATCACGCCCTGAGCCAAAGGCAGAGGCTCAACTGCTGAGCCACCCAGCGTCCCCTTGAACCACCCAGGCATCCCAGCAGCTTTGATTATGAGAAAGCTCAATGGCTTGATGGGGCTGGGGCCATAGAGTTGCTGCCCCCCTTCACTTGGTATGATGACTCATGTGTTGTCTGGCCAGTTGTCTGTGCCCAGAAACAAGGAGAGACAAGCAGATCATCTATGGACAGGGTTTGTAGAGAGGAACACTGATGTTACTTTGGTTCTAGAAATTACCATGACCTATGCTTCAAAAACATGACTGGCCCAAGAAACCTCTTCACAACTAATTCCATTATTACACGGGTGGTTTTTCTCTTTTTTCTTTTGATCCTGGGCCTACAATTTACAAGTTTTATAACATGACCAAGTTGTTTTAACCTCTCCTCTTCTAACTCTTCTAATAAGTGATGCTTCTAATAAGACGATGCTTGAACCTACCTCAAAGGATCAAAGTGAGGCTTTAATGCAACAGCTTGTGCAGAGGACTAGCACAGCACCTGACACATAATACGTACAGCATAAATGTGAACAGTATCGGAAAATTATTATTAGTCTTTGGGCTTGGTGACTGAGCCAAATTGGTTAAACCCTCCTTTGCTACTACTTTCTTATCTGTGAAAATCAGAAAACTGTAGCCCCTATCTCAGTGCTACTGTGAGGATTCAATGACACAGTACAGGGCTGGCATCTAATCAATGCTCAACGTCAATTTTTTTAAAGTGTTAAGATTGTTTAAAGATCTCAACGATGCCCTGGCCCTGCACAGCCCTCAGCACGTCACAGGTGTGCACCAGGCATCTGGTGCAAGCGCCTGCCTTCATGAACAAAGGATGGGGAGCAAAGTAACTTAATAATAAGACTTAATCAAATTAACTTAATAAGTAACTTAATAGGTCCTCCCCTACTAAAAGTATTCCCCAGTCCTAGCCTGTTAGAGATTCATTTGATTAACAATTCATGTTTTTATTTTTATTTTTTTAAAGATTTATTTATTTATTCATGAGAGATAGAGAAGCAGAAACATAGGCAGAGGGAGAAGCAGGCTCCCCAAAGGGAGCCTGATGCCTGCAGGACTCATCCAGGATCCCAGAATCACGCCCTGAGCCAAAGGCAGACGCTCAACCGCTGAGCCACTCAGGTGTTCCTGATTAACAAATCATTTTTAAATAAGCAATAAAAATAAGCAGTGAAAGTGTTTCTCTCACCTGAGAATGACTGAATCAGAAAATTAACATGAAAATAAACAACTGACAGCTGCCCCATCAAGGACCCAGAGCTTTAGGAAAAGCAAACAGTTCTGGGGAGCGGTCTGGCCAGACATCCACAGGTAGGAATTGGTCAACTCAACAGATGCAAAAGTCCCTCAGACATCCTAATGAGGAAAGGAAACATGGGAACAGAAAGAGAAGAAAAACTAGCTTTGTCTGGGGCCAGCATCAACAGAGACTGGTGAGTCCCCTTGGCCGCATCACCCCCAACCATTCAGGTGCTATCCTTGTTTCAAGACTAAACACCTGGTTCTAGCTAGCATGATCTGGCTTCCTAGTTTAAGGCAAAGTGCCTTACAATACTGCCACAGACTGAATGTTTGTGCCCCTCTAAACTCCTATATTGAAGCCCTGATCCCCAAAGCAATGATACTTAGAGGGGAGGCATTAGGAGTTGAGTTAGGTCATAAGCATGTTGCCCTGATGATAGGATTAATACTCTTGTAAGAAGAGATTGGGAGAAAACCCTTGGGGCGGACACAGGGACAGGTAGCTGACTACAAACCAGGATGAGAGCCCTCACCAGACACCAAATCTGCTGGCACCCTGACCTCAGAATTCCCAGCCTCCGGGGACCCTGATGAATGAATGTTTGTTTAAGCCACCCAGTCTGTAGTATTTCATTCTAACAGTCTGAGCTGATGGAGACATCTATTTTAAGTAAGAAAAAACCAAGCCAGTTTTCAAAAATTGAATTGTATCAATTTTTTGGTTGAAATGTATTTGGTGAGAACAGGTCAAAAACAGTTGTACTTGTGTATCTTTGATTATGATATTAAAAATATAAATGTGAAGGGCACCTGGCTGGCTCAGTCGGGAGAGCATGTGACTCTTGATCTCAGGATGGTGAGTTCAAGCCCCACACTGGGCATAGAGCTTACTTAAAAAAAAAAAAAAAAAAAAAAGAAAGAAATGAAGGGGCACCTGGGTGGCTTAGTCGATTGTCTGACTATTGATTCTGGCTCAGGTCGTGATCTCAGGGTCATGAGATAGAACCTCACATCGGGTTCTGTGCTCCATACAGAGTCTGCTTAGGATTCTCTCTCTCCCACCCTCTGTCCCACCCCCCGCTTGTTCTCTCTAAAAAAATAAATAAAATCTTTTAAAGCTGTGGATGTGATTTTATGACATCAACTTAACATCAGAGATAGTATATTCATGTGACCTTTTTTTAGAAGCAGTTTTAACTAATGCTTATAGGTGCTAACTAAATGCTTGTCATGTTCCTAAGTGTTTACCACAAAGGCATAAAATCCTCCCAATAATTCTATGGGGAGAAACTATCACCTTCCCCTTTTGATAGATAAGGAAACTCAGGTAAGAAGCCATGTAAGCTAGCATGACAAGGAAGTGACACACCATGATTTGACCCCTGGCCACCTGTTCCAGCCTATGAAGCCACTCCAGGCTTTCACTTCTGGTAATAAGGGCCCAGTAAGTCAAGGGACATTTCCATCACGACCATATAAACATCATCATGGTTATTTATACATCTCTTCCCCTCAAGACACCATGAAAACCTCAAGTACAGGAAATGCCATGTTACTCATGTCTATGTGTTCTCAGGCCCTGGCACTTAAATGTGGTGGAAAGTGAGAGGTGGCAAATCTTGATGGGCTCTCATATGTCTCTCATTTCTTTTTCTAATCTAGGAATAAAGAAGAAAGTTTTAGTCTTCAAAAATCAAAGTATTCGGGCAGCCCGGGTGGCTCAGCGGTTTAGCGCTGCCTTCGGCCCAGGGCCTGATCCTGGAGACCAGGGATCGAGTCCCATGTCAGACTCCCTGCATGGAGCCTGCTTCTCCCTCTGCCTCTCTCTCTCTCTCTCTCTCTCTCTCTCTCTCTCTCTCTCTCTCTCATGAATAAATAATAAATAAAATCTTAAAAAAAAAAGTATTCCCCATTACCAAAAAAAAAAAAAAAAAGCTTAAACTTATAAAGAATGCACATGCATGCTTGATTCAAAACAATTTTACATGCTTATACTGGGGAAAAAAAATCCAAAATTCATAAGCATGTTGATTTACATAATCCACATACCTAAAGTTTGGCATCATCACACTGGTGAACCAAAGAGTGGTCCACTTCCCCTTGCACACGTCTTACACACAAACCCCTCAATGGTAGTTTCAAGAGGACCAGGCAATCATCTCATTGGCTGGTTCCCAAACTGGCCCTGACAGGAATGGTTTGCAGATCCAGCCAAGCTCCTTGACACTGCCCCCTCCCCATAGCCCTCAGTAACTCCCCCCCCCCCCAAGAGAAGCTTCACTTCTGAACACTTTACCCATGCAGGTTACAGATAACATTTCACAAATGGCTTTTACAGTTCAGGAAAAATTAAAAACTCACTTAACTATCCAAGTCCCTCCTGCAGTTAAGTTTTTATAAGTAACAAAACCATCTCTTAGACTCCCCAACTTGCTTGAAGATAAAACACTACTGTAAATGCACAGAGCATACCCTCTTCTAAAACTGAAACTTAGGGCACCTTGGGGGCTCAGTGGTTGAGCATCTGCCTTTGGCTCAGGTCCTGATCCCAGGGTCCTGGAATCGAGTCCCACATCAGGCTTCCCACAGGAAACCTGCTTCTCCCTCTGCCTACGTCTCTGCCTCTCTCAGTGTGTCTCTCATGAATAAATAAAATATTTTTAAAAATAAAAATAAAATAAAATAAAAAATAAAAATGAAACTCAAGCCAGAGGTTACAGCAAGAATGGACTTCCACAGAATAAAGATGGCTGACTAACTTCAGGATGTCTTGTCTAACCAGGAATCTACATTGTGACTGGAACAGACTGGATCTAAACCCACTGGGGGGCTTCAGGGCAGAGCTGGAGGTCCCCATAATGAAGCAGAAAAAACCTCAGAACTCTGAGCTCAGAATTCAACTCCAGGACCTCAGTTCAAGAGCCGTTATCAAAAATATTCAAACCACAGGATGTGGGCAGGAAAAGACACAATCTCAGCAGTTATCCAGTTGGGATCACACCCTTCGGCAAGCAGCATACTGCTTTGCCCCATGAACTTCCAGCAATGAGCAATGAGGCTGGGCCTACAGCTGAAAACCACCATCCTCATGAGAACCCCTTTAAAAATCAGCAACTACAATGGCCTCTTCAGAAAATGGGAATGGGGTGCCTGAGTGGCTCCGTGGTTGAGCATCTGCCTTTGCCTCGGGTCGTGATCGCGAGGTCCTGGGATTGAGTCCTGCATCAGGCCCCCCATGGAGGGCCTGCTTCTCCCTCTGCCTCTCTCTGTGGAGAGAGAGAGAGGGAGGGAGGGAGGGAGGGAGGGAGAGAGAGAGAGAGAGAGAGAGAGAGAGAGGAAGGAAGGAAGGAAGGAAGGAAGGAAGGAAGGAAGGAAGGAAGGGAAAAGAAAAGAAAAGAAAAGGAAAGGAAAAGAAAAAAGAAGAGAAAAGGAAAAGAAAAGAAAAGAAAAGAAAAGAAAAGAAAAGAAAAGAAAAGAAAAGAAAAGAAAAGAAAAGAAAAGAAATAAAGAGAAAAGAAAGAAAATGGGAATGAAAATGTGCTTCCACATGACAAAGAAGGGGAGGAAAATTTTTCCCTAAAGCAATTCAATAAAATTACAAAATGAGTCCCCAACACACAGAAAAATCCCATTAGGAGATGCCCAGGTGAGGACCTACTATGAATCCACCTGGTTTTAAATAAAAACACACCTTCCAATAAGAAGGCGGAAGGGGTATAGTCACATACGCCATCATTCCTGGAGTGAGGACAGTCAAGGGGACATGCAGGTTCTTCTGAGTCTCTGCAAACTCCTGGGTGAACCAGCTCCCCCTGCTTTATACTGCCCCAGTCCAAGAACTGGAGAACTGGCTACAAAACCAACTAATGCCCAAACAGCCAAGACAACAGCAATTAAGAAATATGATGCTTTCAAAAATAATTTGTAAGTAAATAATAATACAAAGAAGGCACATTAGTACTATACAAATGCAGATTTATTTTGCTTCCCTTCATCTATAGTATGAGAAAGGTTGAAAATGTTAGGAAACCAGCTTACATCCAAAGCACCTCTGAGATTATGCTTTTCTTCAGAAAACAACTTATAAAAAATAATAAACATTTAAAAATTCAAGTCCTTTAATAAAGTATTTTACATTCCTGAATGTTAAAACTCCTTGTGTTTCCTAAAATATAGTACAATTAAAAAAAAAAACAAACTCATAAAGTGACACTGATTTGAATTCCACAGGATCCCTGACAATTAAAAATATGTTCTTCCTTATAAAGTAAATTTGTTCTTCACAGGCAAAACAATAGTTAAAGTGTACTTCTTTGATTAATTCATTGAGATTTATCTTATTCTCCAGCTAATTATTACAGAAGACTAATGGTAATTTATAGTTTCTTTGAATAAGTTAACAAAACATATCCAAAATGTTAATCATCACACACATGATTCTGGGAGAGCGACAAGATCTATACATACCAAAAAAAAAAAAAAAAAAACATTTCACCAATTAACAAAAGCCAATGTGGCTCATTATTCCCTGGGGCAGGTCTTCTTCAAGAAGACAGGACAATCTTCCCTTGGTCCTGCTATGGCTATTTCTGAGTGGCATTCTTTTCCCCCCAGAAAGTAAATGATCCCAGGGTGAAATTCAAGAAATGTAGTGCTTGGCTTTGTGATTTTGGAAGGTTGATGAAATCTGCAAGGACTCCCCAACCATCCATCCGGTTGAACTTCGCCATGTGAGATAAGATCGCTTCTGAGTGTGCACCCCAACATGTGATGGGGACAGGATTACATTCCTTTCTCGTCACTCTAGGACCAGGTAACATGACTGGTTCTCCAGTTTGACAAACCACTGGCCAGACAGGAAGGTGATGTGAACTATGGAAACCATCCCACCTAAGAAGATATATTGTACCCAGAGACCTGTGCGTCTGTCTGAGAAGAGGCTAAAAGAACAGGAATCTTTCCTCATGATTAACGTCACTGTGAAAAAAAGCCCAACTAAATTAGTGCAAGTTTAAGCATACTACCACTTAATTGCTAAAAAGGTTTTGAAAACTTGATAGGGATTTCATAGTTCACAGACTCCAAAAGGAATGTTACCACATTTCTCACCTGACTGAGTGGAGCCATTGGAAGCACCTTTGGATAGATGTTGAATGGGGAAGCAGGGCAGGATGGTGTGAGCAGGAGGTGTTAAAAAAAAAAAAAAAAAAGATCTTGATGTTATAGAGGTTTTTTTCTTCCTTAAGTTTTCCAAGTATTTTACATTTTCTGTGCCCCTGAATAATGTGAGCTACAGAGTGGCTGCCTGTGTGAAAGGAGTTGCCTCCAGACTGTAAGTTCAAGGTCTCATCAAGTCCATACCCAATTACCAGATGAAGTGGTCTCTTGCGGATGAAAGCTCCTGAGGCTTCCTTTTTCAGTTCATCTTCCAAACTTCACCTTTCCTGTAAGAAACCTAACAAAAGAAAGAATCGAACAAATTCAGGGATTCACTGTTGGGGGGGGGGGGCGCATGCTTTTAGAGCAAATCACTTGGCCATTTCAAAAAAGATCTTCTGCAATGGCTGGGTTTTCCTGAGCTGAAGACAAGCTACTGCAATTTCAAGACTGTGGTTACAAGATATACTAAAATATCCTGATAGAAATACAAAATTGCACCAACTAACTGGATATCCCAGCCACACAAAAGCACAGAATATTGGCAATTTTTGATTTTTTTTTTTTTGCTTGTTTGTTTTTAACTCAGAAGAGTTTTGTTTTCCTGTTTAATGAGGGATTTGGACTAATACGCTGGTTTTTATGATCTCTTTCAGCGCCAAAAAGATCTCACAGACCCATTTATGGTTCTAATGTAGCAACAGGGGTAGCCCCGGTGGCACAGCGGTTTAGCGCCGCCTGCAGCCCAGGGCGTGATCCTGGAGACCCTGGATCGAGTCCCACGTCAGGCTCCCTGCATGGAGCCTGCTTCTCCCTCTGCCTGTGTCTCTGCCCCTCTCTCTGTCTCTATGAGTAAATAAATAAAATCTTAAAATAATAATAATAATAATAATAATAATAATAATAATAATAATGTAGCAACAAGTCAAGCGTCTCCTGAGATCAGGAGCAGACACAAACAAAAAACAAAACAATAGCCCATTGTAGTTTGTGAGAGAGACTTTTCAAGGCTTACTCTGATGGAAGAGGCTGTGATTATGACAGCACAGAGGCCATAGATGGCGACAGGCAGAGGCGCCTATATGCAAATAAGCAGATTTCCACACGTGGGTCTCAGTGATTTACAAAATTTCAACATATCCAGGAGCGTGAATGAAAAATTTGGCACTGAAACTAGATATCCTATTTGCTTGAGGTTTCTGCATCCAAAATCTATGGGGGAAATATGCCCACGGTATCTCAAAGCATCCTGACAGATCACAGAATGATTTTACTCTTCATACAAACTTATGGGGCATTTACATTTTTTTACATTCTTTTTGGAATAAAAAGTTGAAACAGAATTCCAATAAAACCCTCTCCCTGCGGCCTTGGGGAAGTGACACTACATTTGTCAATGATGGTAACAATACATTATGAAGTTTTGAACTGGTTTGACCAGTGTGCCAAATCAAGCTGCGCACACAAAAAAGAAGTGTTTAAGACAAAGGAAGGAGCTGTAGAGTTTTCTGGATTAGGACTAGAAACTTTAGCCCTCCTCTGGGCTCTCCTTTTCCACTTCTCTTCTCTGCTACTCGAGGTTCACTGGTGCCACCCAGTGGCCTCCCCCAGCACCGCTCCAGGCGACCAGGCCTTAGAAGGCTGAAGGTCTCAAGAACCACAATGAAACATTCTTGGCCACCCCTTAGGGAGCTAAATACCTGGAGCTGTCCACGCGTGATCTTTTTTTCATTCCCACAATAAACCCAGGACAGAAGGGTTTTTGCACCCATTTTCCAGATAGGAACAGAGAGTCTTAAAGTTCGGTTGAGAATTTGCTTGGTCACAAAGCCAGCCAGCATTTTAGACGGGATTTGAACCGTTCCTCTGACCCCACACACAAATCACCTTTACTTAGATTATGGCAGTCCACATGCTTACCCTACACTTCTGTAATTCTCTGAACCCAAGCTCATGAATAAGCAAGCAGTACATTCTATGGTAGAAACTTGCTACGTGCAAAGACACAGCTTGATTCCAAGTAAACAACTAAGATAATTTCCGGCTCACCTTTGAGCACATCTTGGACTTCAACAGAAATGTTTTTCAAGCACTTGTATAAATTCTCGGCCGTGGCATTACTCTGTTCCTTTTCTTGCCACTTCTTCAGCATCCTAAAGTTACAGATCGTAACATCTTCTTTTTTCTCCCGGATAGCATCAATATCGCTAATCTCCAACTCCAGGTTGGCAATCGCAATTTTTATCCACTCCTTCCCCAGCTTCGCAGCAAGGGTAATCAACTGTGTGTCTGTTAACAGGGTCCTGGTCTTTGCTCCGTCTAAAAGCAAAACAGAAGTCTTCTGCTGAGAAGTTCTTCTCAACACTTCAATCACTTATAACAAATTATAATGAAAATGTGTTCACCTTATATAAAGGAGGACATCATGATTTGTAACATAAGCTGCCTTTAAAATACATTTGAGTGTCAAAAACTCCCTTTTTCCCAAACTATTATAAGGACTGAGGGAAACTATTTCGTGTAATAACATTAAACGAGGGAATAATGTTCACAATGGTAATTCAGGGAGTGAGACTTTTACCAAGTGGCACAAACTGGGTTGGAATAAAAAAATCAGACACCGAAAATAATTTTTATGGGTCAAAAATAAAAATGTAGTTACACCCTTGCCCAGCTCTGTGTCTTTATTTGAATGTTAGTGCCACATAGAGATGCTACCTTAAGGGCCACTAAAGCGGGCAGCAAGACATCTGACTTGCAATCTCCATTATGCCATCTCCTGGCATTAGGGGAAAAACGGCACCCACAGAAAAGTCATGAGATGGTATCTGTAGTATCTGTTGATCTCTTAAGAAATATGTATTTGCCACTGTTAAACCTTCAGCCCCATGAAAAATATTAGCCCTATCACTAAGCTAGATTTTCTCTTTTCATGTTTTTTTTTTTTTTAAAGATTTTATTTATTTGTTCGTGAGAGACACAGGGAGGGAGGCAGAGACAAAGGCAGAGGGAGAAGCAGGCTCCCTGCAGGGAGCCTGATGCAGGACTCGATCCCAGGATCCTGGGATCATGCCCTGAGCCAAAGGCAGATGCTCAACCGCTGAGCCACCAAGGTGCCCCTCTTTTCATGTTTTTTAGTTGGTTGTGCAACAGTGTGGCAAAACTCAGGGGTCCTCTAGATTCAGTGAAGGATCATAAAGGCACTACAAATAGAGGTGAAATTAGAAGGGAGTGAGAGGTGGAGTACTTTCTGCCCTTCCTCCAGAACCACGATACCTCTGGCTCATCTATAACTGACAATTTACTACTATGAATCTAACCTTTGTCCTGGGACCCTTCCCCACCTCACAGATCCCTAACCTTCTAGATTGAAGAATGGGTCTAAGCGATGGCCTGCGCCCTCTAGTGGCTTCTCGAGACGTGGTGCATGCTCCTAGCTCTCCCAACTGCTGCTGCAATGAAATCTGCACAGGGAACCTAGGGAAAATACAAGTTCTCAGGACCATCCTCAAATCTACTGTTTCTGATTCCGAACCTAAACTTTAACACGATCTCCAGGTGAGTCTACTGAGCCTGAGTGGTGAGCATATTTAAAAAGCATCACACTGATGGGGTGAGTCCAAAACCACCAGGACTGTGGTGGGTGACTCAGTATCTCAAAGAATGTTGTAGAAATACCTAAACAAAAGTAAATCCTTATTAATTTATTTAGATACCATACTTTCAACTCCAAAAAAAGGCTGGAAAGCCTTAATCTTTCTAGGTAGCATTTAATAATTTTAATCCTATTTCTAGCTACTTGATATTGGAGCTCATTTTAAATAGCCAAAAGTAACTGCATGTGACAACAAAAACTTTTCCTATGTATCACTGTAATATAAAAGTGTGTCCCGGTTATTAGATGAATAATGTCTGAGGATCTAATGAATAGCACGATGACTAGAGTTAACAATACTGTATTATATACTTGAAATTTGCTGAGAGTACATCTTCTGTACTGTCACCACCAAAAAAAAAAAAAAAAAAAGTGAGGTGATGGATGTGCTAATTAACTTGATTGGTAAATATTTTACAATGCACATGTATATCAAATCATCACACTGTATGCTGTAAATACACACAATTTTATTTGTCAATTATGTCTCAATAAAACTAGAAAAAACGTATTCCAATTTAGTTAGGTTTTTAAAATAATTCTAAAGCCTCACTTATTTCGATGTTTACTTAACAAAAAATAACAATAACCATTTCTATAGTGATGTACAGTAAAATCATCCACGTCATCCTCACAGTCTCCTGTTCTAGAAAGTAGAGAGTATCTTGCTTCCATTTATACAGTTTATCCGCTTTCAGAGATTCGTACCTTATAATAATAGGAAAAGAAAAGGTATTTTGATGAAGCAGTTAATTTAGGAAGTTGAGGCCCCTGAAGTCTTAAGGCCTCAACTCTCATATAATTTGAGTCCGTTTTTAAACTTAGGTTTGTAAATTCTGGTTAGACTGGGATTTTGAGCTAGAGACTCCATCTTCTGGTTCCTTGGAGTACTGCTGTGAAGCATTTTAAATCTCTTCTTGTATTTTCACAACTATCAAGCCTTGGTCTCTGCCATTTAATTGGAAGAAACTGAGACCTGCCTCCAATAATTGAGCTGGAGGCTCTTTACCCCAGATGCAGCTGGTAACCGTGAAGCCAATGAATGCATACATAGACATTTACTATTTCATTCATTCAACTGACATTCATTACAGCTGTCATCATTGACATCATTTTATGTCATCACTGACCTAAAAAGCTCCACACTCATTGCTACAGGAAACGTAAAGATGGATGGTTCATGGCCCCTACGCTTACATGCTTAATGGGAGCTCACCCTGGTGCCTCATTCTATTTAGACTGAGTGAAGAGGTGGAGTGGGGGCTCTAGCTGGGAAAAGGATGAGGCCAACCAAGGAGGACCCTCATCCGGGGCCTGAGGAGCTGGCACACAGGGAGAAGGTACCCGAGAGGGCAGGCACACCTGGGATGCGGCTCCGGAAGTCTGACCCAACAGCATGGGCTTGGATGACAATCAAAGGGGAAACCAGGGAAAATAATGTAAAGCCACTGATGACACTTTTACACACCTGAAGTGTCAACCTGCTTCATTCTCTTGTCATAAACGTCCTCATCAGGTAAGCTGCTGGTCATTTTTCGCCGCCTGTTACCTTTAAAAACAAAAACATCAACAAATTGGCTTACCCTTCTATTTCTTATTTTCCACCTACCTTTAATGAGGATTTTTAAAGTAAACATCATTCGGGTACAAACAAATTGAAAATGAAATCAAAAGTTGTCTGGATGATTAAGAGAATTACAGAACACTTAGCAGATCTTTAATGATACATTTGCCCAGCGAAAGAAAAATTCTAGCAGATGGAATAAAAGAATAGATTAAAACCCATTCAATGTCCAGTTAACCAGCACTTACCACTTGTGCTGCTTTTTGAAATGTTCTGATTCTGATCATGCTGAACCCAGTCACCTGTTAAAGTGTAATAAGCATCAATTGGAAATAGTACAAAATTTGATTTAAATCAATTTATGAAAGTATATGAAGCTCTAGAATCTTGGAGATCTCTCTGAAGTTCAAATATGAATTTGGGGTTTTAACTTGGTATGTACGCCAATGCACCTATTTTTGAGATCGCAGGTCCTACAAGTCAAGTGTTTCCCAGACTCAAGTCATCTGCATACAACTATCCCAATTCTTGACAAACCCATATGCCAGGTGAAATGTTATTATTCAGTATTTCTTTATATCCCTAACCACTGTAAAGAGAACACTGGTCTCACTTGTTATATGGATAAGGAAGTCAGAAAGATAAACATTGTTTTCTTTTGAATGTATTTATGTATACTCTATCTGAAACGATCTCATATATTATCATTCTGTACTTTGGGAATACTGTACTTGAGGAGTTCTTTCTGAACGCATCATTGTGGTTCTACACCACCTTCCCAGTCTGAAATGCAGTCCCTGTTCTATGAGGTGTCTATGCCTCACGCAGGCCTTCTATAGGTCCCTATAGTGAAGATGACTTCATAATAATAAGCAATCTCAATTAACCATTAGTTTAGCCCCTCTCCCCCTCAAAACAATGGAGACCAGAAACATCTTTTAATGCAGGGTATTATTAAATGTTTTTAAAAACCAAACATAAGAGGTCTTATAAAGTAGTCTTTAAAATGACCAAGCAACTTATTCTTGGTCCAGATAATATGTTATTCAGATCGCTACAGGTTACATACCTCTATTACATTGGCATCATCTGACCAAAAAGTAACATTTTTCACGTTCATTTACTTGAACAAAGAATGAATACCAAGAAAAACAACACAATCACTGACACACAGTCCCAACTATTTACAAGTAAATAAATTTTAGCTCAGATAAAAGGGCCTGTAACTCAAGAGTATAATACTGAGAATAAGAATCAATCCCATCTACTGAAAAGGCTCATACTTAAGCGAAGACTGAGAATTCCAAAATGCGTAAATCGGGATTCACAGCTAAAGTATAAAGACACGACAGAAAATGCAGACTCAGGCAGCCCAGGTGGCTCAGCGGTTTAGCGCCGCCTTCAGCCCAGGGCCTGATGCTGGAGACCTGGGATCGAGTCCCACGTCGGGCTTCCTGCATGGAGCCTGCTTCTCCCTCTGCCTGTGTCTCTGCCTCTCTCTCTCTCTCTCTGTCTCTCATGAATAAATAAATAAAATCTTTAAAAAAAAAAAAAAGAAAATGCAGACTCTAACAGACAGCCATCTGTATGTTGGAAAGACATAAATGTATGACCAGCACACAGCACTCATTCTATGTCTTTAGCAATTACCAAATTCATTTGTCTATACATAACCCAATGGAAACAAAAGAAACTAGCTGAAAATGGGCTCAAATGTTGTTCCTGACATGGGACTCGATCCCAGGACCCTGGGATCATGCCCTGAGCTGAAGGCAAATGCTCAACCACGGAGCCACCCAGGCATTCCAACTCCTTCTGTTTTTTGGAATGACATTGGATTATGTATAGTACCAGGAAAGAGTTAAGGTATTATAATTCAAAATGCAAATGATGTGGGGCACCTGGGTGGCTCAGTTGTTGAGAGGCTGCCTTTGGCTCAGGTCATGATCCTAGGGTCCTGGGATGAATCCCACATTAAGGCTCCTTGCAGGAAGCCTGCTTCTCCCTCTACCTATGTCTCTGCCTTTCTCTGTGTCTTGCATGAATAAATAAATTTTTTAAAATGCAAATGATGCAAAAATAATTTCTACTACAAACATGTGGCATTGGCAGGAGGAACCTCAGTGCCATTTGCAGCTGAGGACACAGCAGCCACAAATAGGTTGAGAGACTTGCCCACAATCCCTCGTAGAGCTAGTCAGTTCTAGGGCTAGAACTAGAACCCATAGGACCTCACTCCCAACCATTTGTTGGCCTCCCTTTGGCTCCAAAATGTGTTCACTATACACATGTCTGTTGTTTTAATAACTTCCTTCCAAGAGAATTGGAGGTCAAGCTCAGACCTGCCTGAGGAAGCAGCCAGGGGCAGCTACAGGGTGTCCCTTCACTGCCTCTCCCCTCTTCCAGCAGCAGCCCTCTCCAACTCTTCCCAGGGCAGGAGAGGATGTTAAAGAGGTGGTAGCCAGAGGACTTCCCAGCGACAGACTCTTAAACAAGAGGAATGTGTTCCTATAGCAGAGCTGTGATCACACAGAGCAGGAGCTGCCAGCTGCAGGTCAAATAGGCAGGCTGACGCAAATGAGACAGGTAATCAGCCAAGATGCAAACGTACATCCAGGTCCTGGAACAGACTTTGTCAGGACACCCCTAATTCACATTGAAATACCTGAGATCCGAACTTTAGAATGGTAAGGGGAGAGGGGATCTTCTATTGGCTAAGCCCACCTACTACCTGAAGCTTCCACACACTCACAGAACTACCCCCTGACCAGGGGTCTGGACATGAGTGCCTGATAACCAGAGCCTCAAGAGGGTCTTTGTGTCTCTTAATCAGATTTCTAGATGTTATGGTAACAGAACAATCACTCTACTTATTTTTCTACCCCGACCACCCCACAAATCAGAGTTTTCATTCAAGACACAAAACACTTACATTCTCTCAGTTTTGCATTCCATACAATTTCCTCAGAATCCGTTTCGACCAAAAGTAATTTAAACTCCACTGGTTGCTCCAAATACACTTCAATGTAACTTTTCAATTTTAAAAGTGAACCATCAACAAATTCAATTTCCTTTAAAAAAAAGTGATTTTTTTTTTTTAATAAAAGCTGCAATAGTTGACAACATGAAATGTCAAATAAAGAATAATAGAAGGGTCAGTGCTGACGTGAATGCTCACTGAAATTCTGATGCTGGAAATCCCATTCCTTAATCACAGACCCTCTTTTTCTCTGGCTTCTTAAGTCCCTCTTTACTCTGACCTTCTTTTCTCCTTTGTTGAGGCTTCCAATACTATGGCCCTATTTTTTTAAAGCATAACTTTTCAGCCCTTTCTTTGTTCACTGTTTTGTGTTCCCAAACTAATCACCCTATTGTAAGTGATTTTAAACTTCCTCACCATCTTTCGCTTCAATCATTCCACAACCTAGAATTGATTCAAGACATTTACAGGACTACGTTGTGTGTTTTGTTCACATTGCCTCATTGACCACGACTTTGCCCCCAACAAATCCTTTCATTGATATTTCATGAATAAAGAATCTCAGAGAAGCTAACTAACTTGCCCAAATTCACATCTGGGAAGTGGGAGAACTGAATTCGCATCACACGTCCTGACTCAACCACTACGTTTAACCACTACAGAGACCGTCCCATGCCCTCCTCTCTTCTTCTCCAGACTGGCTAGCAAGCCTGGAGGGAGAAATCTCCTTAAAAAAAAAAAAAAAAAAAATCATTGAACTGCACTGGGCATCACCTTTAAAAACCAATACTCTTGCAAAGCCAAAGATCTCTCTCCCCCAAAGCCCTCTGCAATCCCATTTACCACTCCCATTTATGTGGTGCCCTGAGCCCAGCAGCACATCCCCATCACCTCACTTACACACTTACAGCTCTCTCCTCCAGGAGGGCTGTGTCTCCTGGTGAAACCCTCTCCCTTCAAATACAGAACAAATGTTACCATATAGAAACCCTTCCTGGATACCCGTTGCACCCATCTCTATGGTAATACCACATTACATGTTAAAATTACTTCTTGACATGCCTATAGTATGTCTCTCTTTGTAATGGTATCTTTTGAGGGAAAATATCATGACTTACTCATTTTTTAACTCTTACCCCAGACTCATTTGTATTAGGCACATTTGAGAAATGTCAGTTAAACAAATCATTAATGGCATAAAATCAATAAGAACACCTTAGATTTTTTAGCAGAGTTTCACAACTCTCAGAGTAGCCCAAAACCATTACCTTATACAATCATTAGGGCAATACTGGAGATTATCCCCCTTGGCCCAGAAATTTGGTTAAGAGGGAGTATACAATTGGTGACAGGACTAGACAACTTAAAGCCCTCCCACTATCATCATCTTGCAGAAGCGAGAACTCTGGGGACCATCTCAGTCCCTTCCTAGACAGAATTATCCATTCAGTGTGTATTATTCCCTCTCCTAGCGGCTCTTAATCTTGGCAGCACATTACAGTCACCCTGGGAGCTTTAACAAACCCAATGCCAAGGCCACTTCCAGACCAATTAAGTCAGTATCTCTGGAGGTGGGACCCAGGCCACAGACTTTTTTAAAACCTCCCCTGGGAATTCCATTTTGCAGCAAAGGCCAAGAATCACACTGCCCTAAGCAAACCCTTCAAATTTAATTCCACCTCCCAGACAAGACTGCACTTGGCTTCTAATGTTCATTGTTAGGTAGCACCCGCCAGGGCTTGATCAGCCCGCAATGGCTAAGAATTAACCTCTCAGATCCCAGTGGAAAGACTGTCATTAGGAGCCAAGGAGAGGCTGGGCTTAGGGCTAGGCTCTCCTACCACCTGGATGTAGGACCCGGGCAGCCTGCTTGCCTGCTTTGTATATTAGTCTCTTCAGCCTCACTGTTGTGAGGCTTTTTGTGAGGCTCAAAAAAAAAAAAGAAAAGAAAACCGAAGTGGAAAGAAACCCTTAGAAACTGGAAAGGAAGGTATGGAAAGCTGTTTGATCAACCTGACTGCTTCTACGGGGCATGAGGCCTCTGATGATATAATAAAATTATACCTCTGCCATCAGCTCTCCCTTGCTTCATATTTTAATGTAATGGAATCAAAACATGTTTTCAATCTCTCACAAGCTATAAAACAAACAAAAAAGAGGTGTACAAAAAGAATTTCCACACAGATGTCTAGTTAGATAACCTACAGCACACATTCAGAGCACATAATGAAAATAAGTTTTAAAAATAACTTCATCATTTACAGGAAACCAAAATCACTTACAAATGTCATAGTGTGTACAGTGACTAGTTGAAATCTGGTGACAATTTGTTCCCATAACTATTTTTCAAATGGCTTCTAATAAAAAAAAAAGCCAATATCCTTGTTAGCAACTCTTCCATTAACCTTCAGTGCTCTGAAGAGCTTAAGAGGTTAAGGTTTTTATTCCTTTGAAGCTAGCATTGTTTGAAGTATTTAATAAAAGGAACTCAAGAAAATTTAAAACCTTTTTAAGGGGAAAAAGATTAAATGATCTCTTTCTGCAATGGTGGCAGATTAATTCTGAAACTCAACAGCACTTTGGAATAAGCTGCAAGTTTAGCAAAACAACTGCTTTCTTGTAAATAAATTAAAAATGAAAACAAAATGCATTCTTTTAAAACCTTCAAAATACTCTATCTATGAAACATACATCCCTGTTGCTACTCCAAGTGTTTTTTAAAATATATACCTCTGGGGTAATTTCAGCTTCTGGTTCACTGATCAGTCTGTATTTCTTCCCATTCTGCAATAACTTCTGGCAAACAGGAGGCTTGTCAATTTTCATGAATTTCTTAGAGGAGTGCTTTACCGACTTGGAAATATCCTGAAGGTAGAAATAGGTTTTGGCTTTGAAATGCATCAGCAACAACTCTAAGGACCATAAGCGTCCAAGCAATGCACATGCCACCCTGCATTATCTTCATTTCCTCATACAGAATAACATCAATGGAAAAACCTTTCACAGTGCTCTTAAAAAGAGATGCCACAGGGGCTAATAAGGCACCTTTGACCCATGCTTCAGGCTCCTAGGTCTCCAAACATCTTTCTGCCCAAGCATTACAGCCAAAAGCAACACACACACTCTGCATGACACCTAAAGCTTGCTTCTAAAGGATCTCAGAAAATTAAATTAGTGAAGCATTATACATTTGTATTGATTATCTGCCCATAATGTGACTAAAAAGCGACTTATTTTATTGTACACAGTTCTGTTTTACCCAGAGTTTGTTTCAACCTTTCATTTGTGTTTCCACCTTTCATTTCACAACTATTCCCAGAGGGGTCACTGATTTTACGTGCATGGTTCAAAGGCCCCAAAGAGGCAAATGGAGATTTTTGCCCAGCTTCACATGTAAAGCAGCTGTATAGCTGAACATGAAATGTGGGTTTCCTGAATGCAAAGTGCAAGGACATTTTCCTACAGAGGAAAAAAATCAACCCAAGGAGGTGTAAAAACACAGTGTCAACAGGAAGCACATCCTGCCTTAACCATGCCATGCTCCCTATTGTTCAAGTGATGTCCTCCTCTACATTATCTGTTGCTATAATCGGCTCCTCACCCCAGCTTCCCAGGAAGTATAGATAATACCCTTTTAGGTAACTGAATTTACTTTTAAGAAATATAAAATTCATTAAATAAGGGTACTTAATTCCAAACCCATGCTAATTCTACTTTACATGGGATTATTTGTATACCATTTTGAAGACTAGTTTCCCAACTGAAAGTATTAACTTTAGTGAGAAGACAGGAAGCATATTTTACTTTCTTTGAAAGTAACTAAAAACCTATTATTTAACACAGTTTTTAAATATTAATATATATCGCCAATTGTAATCGATATAACTTCTGTTTAAAGCTATCAAAACACTACAGCCTAAAGACACCGGAAATAGGTAGTCTGATGTTGTAGGGGGCCAGGGGCAGGCTACCCCAAAACGGGCCACTTTGGCATGAAGATTATTTTTAATGTTAAAAACAATCAAGGGTGGGGAGATGAGTGAGACAGGTGAAGGGGATGGGATTAAGAATATACTTATCGTAAAGAGCCCTTAGTAATATACAGAATTGCTGAATCACTGTATTGTACACCTGAAACTAATGCAACGCTGTGTGTTAATTATACTTGAATTTTTTTAAAAATTAATTAATTCAAACAATTTTTTTAAAGCAATCAAAACTCAGCCAACTCAGGAAAAGCTCCTTACCTCCCAATAACTGCCTAAAAGAACTGGATAGCGGACCTGCTCCGGAAGAGAACTATCACCATAGGTAACTACACAGTGACATGAACTGGGTGTGGTAGACAGGGAGGCACCTGGCAAGGCCTGTTTGTTTGATCAAAGTCCTCGTGTCCCAGGGCTTCGGACTGGCCCAGCAAACATTTGTTTACCAAGCATTTACTCTTTTTCATTTTCCTGTGAATTGCACTTCTTCCCTTTAAAGTCCCAGACCCATGCCCCCTTCTCCTTAGTTCAGAATGACCACAGTCCATGAATCTGAGGACCTGGCACTGACCCTATAACCTCTATAGATGAGTGCCAACTGAGACCCGCAGTGGGGGTACACTTAAATCAACAGGGACAGGAACCACATAAACATGGCATTCAACATGCACTATTCATTTTCATTAACTTTACCTTGATGAAGGACTCATTATTGGTTGCTATGTACACTCGAAAGGACAAGGATGGATTATGGTCAATGGCTTTGTAGAGAATCACAGCCCCGTGGTGGTATACTGTTTCTTCACTTTGAATAACAGGTCCCACAGGAGAAAGAGAGCTCACATGCCATTTGACATGGGTTGTAGAATGATCCACAGTAGATTCTAACGAGGCCCCGGAACTTTTAACGTGTAAGACTTTGAACGTCATATTGGCATCGTGGTCTGTTAAGATACGAAGGTAAATTAGTGATTAGTGCTCTGGGCGGTACATAGGTGGCACAGATACACACGTATACACACATGCACACACTACTTAAGACTTGTAGAAGACGAGTACTTACGACCCAAGCAGAGGGAATGTGGAAACTGAATGGAGGTGAGACAGGTTGGGTCACATTTAACATCAAACAAAGGTCCTCCAACAACCCAGGGTTTAACAACCAGGTCTGCGTATTTGCTCCAGGACAAAACGCAATATTTGATGTCGACTTTTCTGTTCACCTCGAATATCAGACCAGTTTCCGTGCACTGGTAAATTCCTTCTGTGTCCAACTTCAGTCTGCATTGGGCAGATAAGAACACCTGTTTAGTCCTACTACTGGGTCAGGAGAGGGCTACTAAAAGTTATTTACATTTCTACTTCCATTCAAAAGCACTAATGAGATTCTATAGCATTTTGAAGAAGGTCACCATCAAAGAATATACTCCAAGTAATTACATAAAATGTGTGAAATCAGTTATGTTGCTTTGTGTGCCCTCTCCCTGGGGTCATTTTTATGTACAAAGTCAAATTACTGATGATATTGAGACTTCTCTATTTACAACTACTTACAAAAACTGTTCCCGGGAAAGGAGCCTGGGGGTCACTTGTTCATTGTGTTTCTGGAGAAAAAGTACATACGTATAAGCAAGTAATACATACGTAAAAGTTGTTTTCTTTAAGCAAATTAGAAAATCATGTTCTATAATTAAAGGATACTTACATTTTCAGCATTACAGTGTTCACAGTAAGGTTGGATTTTATGAAGTTCTAAATGATAGAATACAAGTCTTACTTATATGAATGGGATTGGCATTTTCAAATAAAAAAATTTTTAATAAATATATGTGATATGACCAGATCACAAAATTCAAAGGTACATGCCCCTCAACAGTAACAATATGTAAAAGAACATTTTGGAAAATGTAAGTTTATACCTGAATGTAAATGATCTTTGGGCGATTCTTTATCCTCCCATTCTTCCTCTGTGAAAGATATCATCACACACACATCGGCACAAGTCAATGACAGGGTAAATCTGTACTCCTTAAGCACCCACCTTCAGCTTCCCAACCAAAAAAACTTTAGACATGTATTCAGACGCTTCCGTGAGTCAATCCAATGACACAGGACACGTCATGTTTGTCAATCCCACCATAGGTCTAAGGTGTGAAAATGAGTTTGAATGAGACTCAAGTTTCAGTGCATCCCACTGTGGCACATAAATTGTTATGTGATCTTTTTATGCAGCAGGTCATCATCCTTTACACCTGACCTACACATCCTCTTCTCACACAAGCATGGGAGAGAAGCAAGGAAAGAGGAGGGTAAAGCACATTGCCTGGTTCTTACTTTGAGCAGAAGCTTCCTCGATGGAAGACTCTCCTGGCTCCCCATCTGTGGAGACAAGAGGGGCATGAGCAATCTTTTCAGTCGTTATTCCTCACCTACGCCAGTGTCCCAGCTGGAGAGTGGTAGCCCCCACAGAAGATTCGTTCATAGCCCAAGATGATGCTTGGCTGGCATCAGCCCTCCAGCTGAGGATTAGAGATTAGCTTGGAAGAAAAGAGTTAACGTCTGATATTTAAACCGGAAGGACCGTAAGAGTCTCTGATGTAGCATGCAGATTCCTGCCGTATGGCGCAAGGCCCCATCTGATCTGGCTCCCCGTTACCTCCTCTCCTGCCTGTCTCCCTGCGCCTACTGCCCTGCAGTTACTACTTGCCATTCCTCCACAACCAAGCACACACCTGACTTGGGGCTCTTGCACGTCCTGTCTCTTCCCACAAATATTCACGTTGCTTGCCCCCTCACATCCTTGTGGTCTCTGCTCAAATGTCCCCTTTTCTGAGAGGCCTTCCGGACATACACACATGCTCTCCCTCCCTGAAACAGGGCCTGCCCCACATACTCACTCAGTCCCCTTCCTTTTCCTTTGGGGCATCTCCTCACCAGGCACACTGTGTTTCCTGCTTCCTGTTTCTCTCCCTACTAGAATGTAAGCTTCATGAGGACTATATCCCTAGGGCCTGGTAAGTGCTCAGTGACTATTTTCTGAAAGATTTCAATTCCATAATACAAAAATGTATTAAGAAAGGGAACAGCGATGAATTTTTCTATTATCTACACTGGCCACTAGTTGTATGAGCTTGGGCTCTCTGGTTATATTACTAAGTCTCCCCATGTTTCACTTTCCACATCTGTCAAATGAGGATTAGAATACCACCCTCCAAAATTTAGGAAAATTAAGTTACCATTCCCTAATGCTCAGTAAGTCATAGACAATTATTATTATCTATTATTTTGCTATGGTGATAGGTGGGACTCATTAAAAAATTCAAGAATTCTAGACAACAACTCTGTCACTTAAGGCAAAACCTAATGTATCAAATGCTTGGTTTCATATTTTAAAGGTCTGAACAACCTTTGAGAGGTTCTCCCCATGGGAAGGCATTCCTCAACACATATGCAAGGTCCTACGCCATCACCAATGCCTGGAAGGTACAGACACCTCTCAGGATAGCACTCCAGCCCAGGACATACAAGCTGCCTGATTTCTCAGCCTACCAGGGCAGTGTCCAGGGGCCAGGGTTTGCAAGAGAGAACCAGGTTTTAAAAACAGCATTAGGGGGACACCTGGGGGGCTCAGTGGCTAAGCATTTGCCTTCGACCCAGGGTGTGATCCTGGAGACCCAGGATCGAGACCCACATCAGGCTCCCTAAGGGGAGCCTGCTTCTCCCTCTGCCTGTGTCTGCCTCTGTGTGTGTGTGTGTGTGATGAATAAATAAATTAAATCTTTTTTTAAAAATATAAATAAATAAATAAATAAATACATACATACATACATACATACATACAGCATTAGAATAGGGTCGCAAATAGAGACTAAAAATATTCAGAGTCCTGGACTCAGAACACTATAGATCCAAAATATTGACCCAACTTCTGCACCACACAATCCTCCAATCGTATTTCCTCAGGCATTGTCCTATAAAGGATCATAAAATTCTAAATTATTGATTGGCTGTATGCCTACATAGTATTTTATCCACTTCCCATGTTTTTCTGCCTTGGGAGCACAGAAAGTGAAAGAGATCAGAAAGTCCTAACTAGCTGGCGAGCATGGAGTCTCTGACCAGGTCTTCCCAGCTAAAACAGAAAAACTGATGCAATTCTCCCCAACTTATAAACCACAGTGTCCCTCCAATCCCTATGATGTGGGTGATCCCAGAATTCATGCCTGTGAGTAGAAAATACATCCACTCAGGAGGATAGGTAGGATAGGTAGGCCTGCATTGCCAGCTAGCCCACAGAGGAGCAAACACTGCAAGGTAGCCTACCTGGTCTTTCCACCTGACCTGAGAATGGAGGTGAATGGGAGGGTACCTCTTTGAGATCTCTCCTAATGGGAAGGATAAAAGACCTTTTAGCATTAAGAATAATCTTGGGGGAAGGGGGGAGAAGGCCTGACCTGAGAGACCAAGCTGACCCCACCCTCCCACCCAATTTTGAGCCTATCTTGAGCTTCACTGACCCCAAATGCCTTCCACTTAGGTTGCCTGCCCTGGTGAGGCCCTGGCCCAGGCCTAGCTTCTGGACTCCTGAGGGTCCGGACTCAGGACTCCACGTCCGCATGGCCCCTTACCCAGTTATTAACAGGGATAACATCAGAAACCTGATCCCAAGGCCATCTTTCTAATTTCATTTCTATCTCAAGCCAATCTATGGAGGCTGGACTTTTGACTGCATTTTAAAGGATGAAATTATCCATAATAATCCAATGTAGAATTGGGGGTAAGAGGGTTGGCACACATTTTTTCTTTATGAGTATCAGAATATGACATCTCCACAACGGTGATACACAGATTACTGCAGGTTCTTATCAATGTACCACAGGACTGCAGGAAACTTATAGTTACCATCACTGGTTCTCCACTGAGAAACTGCAGAGAGAATCAGATTATATACGGGACTTCTGAGTGAAGAGACTTCATTTATTTAATAGTATTGCAAAGGAGTCCTCTGACTGCCTTGCTACAGTGTTCATGGGCAGGTCCCAGTCTAAGAACCGGGGGAAAAAAATCTTACAGTAAAATAAAATCACTTAAAATACAAGCTTAGTCACTCACAAAACTTTAGATGAAAACCATATTTTATATTTAGAATCTATGCCCTTAAAGTGGTTTCATACTCGAGTTGTTCATAAATAGCTAGAACAGCATGCCAGAAACTCTAAACCACAAATGGTACATTTGCAGCAGCAAATAGTTCACTCTGCCATAATCTGTGAGCAGCGACCACCACGGAAGGAAGCTAGGGCCGCTTGTGGCTGCACTACAGATTATGGTCGGCCTCTCGATCTTTCCTCCTTAGGGAAACTAAAAGCAGAACCACACTCATACAATCTTGGTATCAACGCAAATCCCAGTGTTGTGAGCTCAAATTTCCAAAACACTTAGAGAAGTTTCCTAATGTTTACCTTAATTTTGCACAAAAAAAGATAATGAACAAGCAATCGATAACTTAAAAATCCCAAAGGCTATCCTCCCCTTTCTTCTCCACAACAAAAAATAAAACTGAGAGGCAGGACACACTCACTTGTTTTTTCTGGTTCTGGTTCCTCGTTATCTACAAAAAGAAAAAAGGTCTAAATCAAATTCTTTTGACAACCAAGAGGAAACACGGCCTAATGGGAGAATAGGTGAAATGTTTGGCTTTCACCAATAGCAACGGTTTCCTGCCTTTCTTCTTCAGCTCATCCTGTTCTCCCACTTCGCTTGCCAACTAGAAAGTATTTACCATGTACGTATTTCTTCAGGGCTTTACAAAACCATGCTAGTAATATGTCCTCAGACAATATAAGGGATGTGTGCATTACTTGAAAATAAAAATTAAGGCTCATATGTTTAACTAGAATTCCGTAATTCAAGAAAGGAATACATTACTCACCAGATTCACTTTGGGAGCTGTTCTCAGAACTGCTGTCCTCTGAACTGCTGTCCTCTCCTGAAGAGAAACATATGTCGCGGGAAGTACACAGTGAATAAAAAATAAGAACTATTTTTCTTTTAATTTATAAAATAGATCCAAACTCAACTAATTTTTTCCTAATTCATTATATTCTCATTGAGTCCAAAACTCGTTTGGCTCACATAAAAGGGGGCTTATTTTTCTTTGGAAGTCTTTACAACAGACTTGAGCTGTAGGAGCTGTAGGAGCTCCCATCACACTTTGGCTGAGTAATCATTTCATTGGGCTGCCACTCAAGCCCCCCCGCCACCGCCACCACCCCGAGCCGTGACTTGCCCTCACTGCTCCTGTCCTGTTCCTGCACTTGCACATCCGGACCGTTTGCAGGCACAGGCTCAATGACACAACCGTGCTAGAAATACTTCCGTGTAAATGGCACTGACTGAAGCACAGGGCAAACTTTGTCCCTATTACTCAACTACTTCTGGAAAGGGTGGTCCCCAAGAATGTTCCCTCCACTTCCTCACCCCAACTCACCCACTGCAATCAGGTTTCTGTTCCCACAGCTAGTTGGAAGTCCTCTCCCTGATGTCCCTAAATTAGGACCACTAACCCCCAGAAAATGACTCCTGCATTTAGACACCCACCCTGCCCTCCTGCCCACATGGGCCCTTCTGTGAGGTCTGTCCTGGTTCCCCTACCTCTCCTACCCTCCACCTGCCTGGCAACTCCTCTCTGCCACCACCACCACCCCATTACTAACGTCCCAGGCCCCATCCCCATCCCCAGCCTCCTTTCCACCTCAAGAGCCCAAAGGAGGCACTGTACCCACTACCCAATCAGATTCTGATCTCTACCTGCTGGGGCACGTGGACCTCTCCCGACAGGCCCCAGAAGCTCCCCAGGCCCAATCTGTTGACCAGGTCCATTCCCCCATGCTCACTCCTCATTCTCTCCTCCTCTCAGGTTCCAGATGCTGCTTTACCCTCCACGCGGGCCCAGAATGCAACACGTACATACATGGAAAGCTATTAGCATTATGCTCAAATCTCCCCCCACCCGCTGCCATGTCCATAACGAAGGATTGGCAGCAGTTACAGAGGAAGGAAAAAAATCTGAGAATAATGAGAATAATAACAGCAGGTAAGAGCTGATGATAGCAGCTTGTCGTGAGTGTTCCATGTGCCAGGCACCATATACATGTTTACTCATTTACATATACTTACTCATGTTTATTTATAAATTTTGTGTACGTATACTTTACGTACGTACGTATACTTTACTATATTTATGTAAAATGCTTCACATATATCTACACATTAATCCTCATGACTATCCAGTGATGTGAGCTGGGCCCCTGGGAAGTCTATAGCTAAGATTTCAACTCAGGCAGTCTAGCCGGAACCTGCACTCTCAAGCACGTTATTACACTTACAAGCACACTTATTATTATTCAGCAGGTCAACCCCTAGAAATTGGTGACTGACTGGACACGGCCGTAGAGAAGGCATGAGAGGCAGATTCCTGCCGGAGAGAATGCCTGGGTGAGGGCGAGGCACTATGTCAGGACAGGTGCTGGGAAATCAAGTGATGGGATGAGGCCTCAGTCCTCCAGGGCTGGAAGCACAGAAGAGGGGTTCTCAACCTTGACTACACCTCAGAATGATCTGGAGAGCTTTCTCAACACATCCATGCCTGGGACTCAGCCCTCCCCTTAGGTCTGATTTAGCTGGTGTGGGGTGAGGCCTGAACGACAGTATTTGTCTTTAAAGTCCCCAGGTGATGGGTGGCGCAGCGGTTTGGCGCCTGCCTTTGGCCCGGGGCGCGATCCTGGAGACCCGGGATCGAATCCCACGTCAGGCTCCCTGCATGGAGCCTGCTTCTCCCTCTGCCTGTGTCTCTGCCCCTCTCTCTCTCTCTGTGACTATCATAAATAAATAAAAATTAAAAAAAAAAAAAAGTCCCCAGGTGATTGCAATGTGCAGCACTGGCCTAGAATCCATCTATTTTAACCACAAGCCAGTCCCAAACTTGAACACCAGGATGGTTGCCACTCTTTCCTCTCCGGATACCTTCTCACTGCCTGGAAGTCCCTCCCCCAGGCCCCACCTCCAGCATTCCCAGGGATCCTTCAGACCTAGCCCAATGTCACTTCCACTGAAAGTCTCCCTCTACCCCACCGAGTCAGCCACGCCGCCTCCTTCGATCCCTCCCTCACATTTCTCCGACTGGCACACAAGGGGCTGCTGGTTTCTTTATTGGTCTTTGAGGCCCGGAGGACGGAGGCCACATCTTAGCACCTTGATTCCCCAGCACCCATCCCTTTGTAGATGCTCAATGCATGAACGGACACTTGCCTGGCTTCCAAGTACCAGGCAGACCAAGACCAGCCTCCACAGTGAGTTCCCTTGCTTAGGAAAATTGCCACCTACCAATCTGGAGCGGTTTGCCCCCCTCTTCGGTCTCCCCTTGCTGTTCCTGTAAGGTGGCCAGCTTGCACGCCAACAGTCGGTAAATGCCTGAATGTAACAAAGCAGCTGCAGTCCATAAGGAAAATAAACGATCATTTTCTAAAACTGCAAATGCTTCAACGGTATAAGTTTTTTAAGAACTCAACATGGACTCAGGAGTACCGTACCTTTTTCTTCTGAAGGCGCATTGTGATGATCATCACTAGAACAAGAAAAGAGAAAGACTCTTAAAAACGGATACTAATGTCATACAACCTAATTACGAAAATCTTCAAAATGATCAGTATGCCGTTTCCTCGGAAATGTCACGTGTGAAAGGACTCTCCTTCCTGGTTTTCCTGCTCCTCGGGCTCTCGGCCAAGGCCTGAGTCCACCCATGGCCAAGCTGAACTCATGGTCTGGGGCTTCTCGGGTGTGCACCTGGCCACCCCTCGGCCCGCCGCACCTCCAAGGCCCCACGCCCAGCCAGCTGGCCTTCCTCTGTCGCACCCTAGGCACACAGGCCCATCCTGTGCTCATCCTGCGCTGGCCTCCAGGCCTTCCATCTGGTTCCATGAGTCACCTCCTCCTCCCAGGTCATCCCCTTGCTGCTCTGGCCTCCTCCCCCAGGTACAGTGCCCTGAGCACCGAGGGTCCCTCGTCCTCATCGCTGCCTGACGCTCTGCATCCTTCTCACCAGTCGTAAGACAGCACGTGGTCCCCGCTGTCCTGGACTCCGAGCCACCTGGCGCCTGTTCTCCCAGGCTCCCCGGGACCCCTGGCCCACAGGCCCACAGGCACAGCGGCCTTCTTCACTCCTTGGTGACCCCGCCTCCCAGGATGAAGCTGGTGGCTGGCATTCCCACGGCTTCCACGTCCTTTCTCACCTGCTCTGCTGCAACCCCCCACTTTCTCTCTCTGGGCTTCATGCCCCATCCCCAGGCTCCTCTGGCCTCACACTGCCTCGGTGCTCCCCTAAATTGGCTCAGATGCCCGGGGCCTGGGGGCACTCCAGCACTTTAAACACGGTCAGTACTTAACTAATCCTCACTTTCCCTCTTCCTGAGAACCTCCTCCTGACCCACCTTGGCAGAGAAGCCCATCACTGGGCCACCCACCTGGAACCTTCCCTCATCACCAGTTCCTGCCCCCTTTTCCCCATCAAGCAGCCAGTCCAAGTGGTCCTGAGCCTCCCTCTAGACATCTCTCCAATCTGTCCCCTCCTTGACATACACTCCCTGTCTCAGTTCAAGTGTGCTCCGCCCCCCTCTTTCTTCCTCTCCTCCTCCCTCCCTCTCTCTCTCTCTCTCCCCACTGGCTTTCACCCGGTTAATCATAATTTTCTCATAATTATTATACATGCCAATAGTCTCACCCTCTTGGCTCATCATGTGACCACCAGTGTGGTCGAATCATGTCTCTGCTTACAGCCTTCTGTGGCTTCTCACTGCTTTCTGGCTGAACCTAAACTCCTTGGCACTGCACACAAGGACCTCCACCCTGCTCCCTTGTCTCCCACCTGTGCGCTCCCCCAGAGTGAAAGATCTTCAGTGTCCCAAGCACACCCTGGCTCGTTCACACACACACACACACACACAGCACACTCTGTATCACCACCCCCCGCCACCCCCCCACACCCAGGGTCACTGCCTATGGCCTTGCAAGTCATGTGCCCCAAGGACATGTACTATGATGTTGAAGTTGTGTGTGCATAGAAGTGACGGTCCTGCCCTTCCTTTGATGCCAAAACTCCTGTTTGTCATTTAGGAACAGCACTTCTCAAAGTACAGTCCGAGGACCATTAGAGCAGCATGAGGTAACCTCTATAAACAGTTTTCCTGGGCCCACTGAATCAGAAACTTTCATGAATAAATGGAAAGACAGGAAGAAAACAACCATGACCTTATTTGCACTTACACATGTTTAAAAATCTTTATTTTCTCATTAATTGCCCCCAAAAAGCCATTTTAAGAATGCAGAGAGGCGCAGACAGGTTAATTAACTCCCTCAGGGTGACAGGGCTCACATCTAGAAAAGGAGCACTTGACTCTGGGCCATTATAACTTCATAGCCCATGTGCTCACCTGTTACCATGTCTTCCTTCACTGCCCACTCCCCACCAAATCCCAACCCGGTAGCAACCTGAGGACGAAGACAGCAAAGCAGCAGACCAACTGCCTTCCCTTTACCTCCTCTTCTTCCCCCAAGTCAGTTGGGACCCCCAGATGTTTGTAAACCTTCTTGACTCAAGATTTTATGCTGGTAAACTTCTCCAAGTATATGTGGTATTTCCCAAGTGCCATAGTTCTAGGAAATACACACATTCTCGTTTTCAGGCTTAAATGCTCTTGTTTTTTAATCCTCAACTCTTGCTTCAAAAGATCAGGCAGTGGTGATGAACCTGGAATTGGGAAATGCTTCAAGAAACTAAGAAAGGCTAAAATATGGTTTTTCATGAAATATGTAAAAGAACAAGCCAAACATTACATTTTTTTTTCTCTAGACTCCTACCTCGTATAATGCAGCCACAATGCCTTTTAATTTGGAACTAATTATGAGAACGTGGATTGGAAGTTGACCATTCTTACCGTACAAAATATGTCTGGTTAAAAACCCACTTCTGTGTTCTCAACAAAACTGTGTTTTTCTCCTGACTAGCACTTTCATTTTCCCCTTTCTGCCGCTGCTTATCTCTGTTTCCAGACATGTATCCATCTGCTTAGATATTAGAACTTTTGCTAAGACCCAGAAAGCCTCTGCATAAAATCTTTATTTTCTCCATGAAGAAAGTGAGTGGCACCCAAGATGAGATTAGTGAGGCTGTGGAGTGGAAGGCCAGCTCCCCGCACAGAAACACTGGACGCCAGACCGTGAAGGGGGAGGGGCTTAGACCTGAGGAGGAGGAGGAGGAAGAGGAGGAGCAGCAGCAGCAGCAGCCCCCCCACCCCCCAACCCCACGTGCATAGACCCTGGAGGACGCAAGGGGCTCCTTGCCACTACAGGAACGCTAGATCCCCACACTCTTCTTCCACGTGTACTGCTGTAGAGTTAAACCACAGCAACCATGGAGAGAGCACCCATTCCAAATGTTCTGTGTCAGTCAGGGACTGAAAATAAGTAGGAAAGCGGCAGGCGCATCCACTTACACTTGAAACTCCTTAAATTTTGATGTGGACTCAATCATTATTACTAGGTATAATTTTACTGCAGCTCCGACATTAGCATCAAATATAAATGCTGCCTCTGGGGTGCCTGGGTGTCTCAGGGGCTGAGCATCAGACTCTGGCTCAGGCTGTCGTGATCCCAGGGCCCTGGGATCGAGTCCCGCATCAGTCTCCCCACAGGGGACTTCTGCTTCTGACTCTGCCTATATCTCTGCCTCTCTGTGTGTGTCCCTCATGAATAAATAAAATCTTAAAAATAAAATAAAAATAAAAAATTAAATGCTGCCTCATACCTATCAGCTTCCAGGCCCCAAACTGGTAAAGCCCCTTTCCCTTAGGGGAAGGGGGAACCGAACAAAAACACCCTGCATCTTGGCACAGTAAAGTCCCTGAGCTGCTACAGGACCAAAAGAATGGGCTTATAACCTTAAAGAGCTAATATTAAATGAGGGTGATTACTGCATGCTTGCTGGAAAATGTGGATTACATGAAAGTATGTGCAAAGGAGTAAAACCAATTGTTGTTGGAATTAAGTCATAGCTGCAATGAAATGTAACCTGAGAACAACACCAAATCTCATGCAGGTGCAGGACCCTAAAACTGCCAAAGTGCTTTCAAATATGAGAGCACCAGCCCCTCACACAGACTCAGCCAGGAAGGCAGGCCAAGGAGCGCCATCCCCACACGCAGATGAGGACACTGCAGCTCAGAGGTGTTCAGTCCTTGGCCAAACCAACACGGGCAGGTGATGGTGCACTAGAACCAGAATGCAAGAGCTCCAGCCTCTGAGGAAGCGCCTTCTCCCTCCTCGGCACCCAGCTTGACTCTGTGCAGTGTGGACAGATCGATAACTAGGCGTCCAAATGATTTTACTCCCATCTGGCTCATAAGTAATAATTCTCCACTTAAAGATTTTTAACAATCCTTAAAGTAGAAATAAAACCTTAATATGATAATGGCCTATCTATGTTCAATGTTTACAGTGTGCTGGAAATTAATCCAAGGACTTGGCATATGTCAGTGAGCTCATTTAATCATCACAACAACCTTTTAAGTGCCTGACACTGGGCTAGAATTTTCCTCCTTTCACAGAAGAGGAAATAATGCTCAGAGATCTTGGGTAACTTATCCAAGAATCCTGGTCCATTTGATTGCAGAGCTCAAGCTTTTATCAGTACGGTTTTACAAAAAAAAAAAGCTAAAAAGACTGCCACGCAGATAATGACAAAACACCAGTCTTTTTTCCTACTAAGGATCCTACTGCCTATGAAGGTAATTCTCAACTACACGTAAACGGAATTTTTTAGGCATAATTACATCCATAATAATCCCCAAATCCTCTAACTTTTTACCAGAATTAAACAAAGCAGTATTTTTTTTTAAGATTTTATTTATTTATTCATGATAGACACAGAAAGAAAGGTGGAGACCCAGGCAGAGGGAGAAGCAGGCTCCTTACAGGGAGCCCCATGTGAGACTCAATCCCAGGACCCCGGGATCAGGACCTGAGCCACCCAGGCGTCCCAAACCAAGCAGGATTTTACCTCTGTTAGCTCCTATCAACCTTCTAGAAAACAGACAGTAACAAAGTAAAACCCGTAAGTAAATCGGTTAAAGAAAATGGAGAAGATTTCATGTTAGTCACAAAGTTGAGTTAATATGGACAGTTGTGAAATAACTCTACCTCCCAGGCCATAATCCCAATGCCAGTAATATTCTCCATAATATAGATCTCTTCCATCAACTCAGATTAACAAACACCTAGCTATTTACCATAAGACAGGTGCTGTGCTAGGCAGAGGGGATATAAAAGTAACACAAAGCACATGAATCTTGTCCCCAGGGGGCACCTGCATGGAGGCAGGAGACAGATCAGGAAACAAATACATATGCATATGATGCAGGAAGAGGAAAACAAAAACAAACATAAGCTATATTGTTAGCCCAGAGCAGGCTACAAGCAACTGGGAAGAACTGAGCTTTTATGCTAAGATCACAAGCATGTGACTAGTCACACAGCCAATTAAACATAATGCTAAAGCCATCTTGCATTTTCAGA